TGACCAACGAAACTGTGTATAAAGCGTGTTTCTGTTAATTTTAGATAGTATGAAGTTTTGTTCTTAGATGAAACTATTTTTTGGAACGTGTACCCTCTGCTTTGGCTCTGTATTAAGAATATTTTACGCGAGTTAAAAAATATAATGAAAATTCTAATTAAACTCTAATATTCATAAATGTTTGCTCCACGTTTATTATAAGTATGTTATATATTATATATTAGACTACATCGTATATTAACGTGACTAAAAGTAGCTTGGTAACGTGCTTTCGTTAGTATTTTCTGGATCAGCAAGTTTAAAAATATGAGCACAAACAATAGAATTTCTTTCATATTCAAACCTTGTACATATATTGAATTAAAATTTAATATAAGATTTTTATTTTAAAGTACATAGTGGTCCAGTGTTATTTCCATTTATCCTTCGTGTTACATACAATTTCCATACTTAAAATCAAATTAAAAATGAATAAATCTTTCTGTTCCAATCGATTAAATATTACGAAGATGCAAGCAACGCATAATACTATCGAACATATAAAATATAGTAGGAAAGTTCGATTTTTAAACGATTTGCACTACCCTCAAATTTGTTATCACAATTTACTATCATCGTGACAAATTCGAAAACGCGAATGAAACGAAAAGTCGAAATATTCAAGACCTTACCTTCGTTACGAATTCAAGACGTGACCGTCCGAAGTCCTCCAGCTTGCCCTCTCGCCAGCATATCGACGCATCGGATAACACTTATTCAGATCCTTTCGGATCGTAAATTCGAGGCCGCAGATTAGGGGGACGGAATGATATTAAGCGGAAGGTTCGTAAACTCGAATATTCGTTCGCAATGAATGCTAAGACGATCTCGACAAATGGATAGATGTAGCAGGAGCTAAAATTCGCTTCCACGTCTACCGTAACTTACAGTTCGCCACGGCTCTGCACGAGATACACGTGAACCGCGCGTTACGTCGAATTACAGTTGAGACAACGCGGCGCGACGTCGTGCTACGTGTTTCGGCGGATTTCGTGCATGGAACAGCTTCGAGTTTTTCTTTCTTGACTTAAAAACACGACTCTTAAGTTGGAAAAGCGCTGTGGTGAAATGTAAAGGAAGAAGGAAAGAAAGGGTAGGTTGTGTTTCGTCCAGATCTGATAACGATCTGGTCAGGAGAACAACCTGATGAGCCAGTACATCGCTGCTGGGATATTAAAAGCCAGGTCAGAGGTTGTATATGTTGGGAAGGACATTAGAACGAATGCTTGCGAGAATTGTGACTTCAGTATGAATGTACTTTTCTGGTCGCAAGTGCAGGAGAACGACTAAGAATTTTCTACTTCGTGACTGGTTACCTTCCAATTTAAATATTTTAAGCTTTTGAAGTTGACCAACAAACGTAGATAGTACGCTAGGTTTACTTCTGTCCATTAGAGTCTACACGAGCGAATATAAAGTGAATCAAATACCTAATTGCGTGACACAGAAGAGAACTTTAAACGACGGTGTCCATTTTTCTCATAATTAGCTGGCAAAAAATGACTTCGCTATGTAACGATAAGAAACGTTCCTAAATAACGGTTCGTGGCTCGGGGAAGTTAATTTGCGAGCTCCATGATACGCAGAGCACTCAACGCACAATAAACAGGTGCCGACCGCATAAATTAAGTTGGCTTGGCGAGATCGACGAAACGAGACAAGCATTTCTGTTTTCTTGCGTCTCCTAAAAACCGTCTCGAAATTTGTCAGCGTATTATAGTTTGTCCAATGATATAGCGAGCTAGTTAACCCTACAGATGATGCATCTATACTATATTAATTATATACTGCGAAGCTGGTATACTACGCTGTAATTATGAAAATAATAATAATAGTAATAATGAAGATAAAGTATCGAGTGAATTCAGATTTGTTACTGAAGGGTTTTAATCTTTCGATATCGGGAGATCGGCCGCTTTCCTCGATCCACCGATCCTACATTCTTGCTTCACAGACATTTTCAATTGATCGGAACGATTCGCAAGAAATTCTGTATTGTCGAGTCGAATTGCAGTCTCGCGAATTTCGCAATCGAACACGGAAAGGAGGGGCGTAAACCGAGCGTATGCAAACGTAGTCGAAGCTTTGCGAACCAGTAGCACCTGTCGTAGCCGGCTAATCTTGAACACGTGTTTCCTTGTGTTAGCTGGCTCTACGCCAACGCGCAGAGAATGGTCATTGTACGGTATCGTGTCTCTCCCCTCCTCTCTCTCTCTCTCTCTCTCTCTCTCTCTTTATTTACGAGTATTTTGCTCGGACGTTGCGATTGTGAAACTAGTCGAACCTATATCAGTTCCTTCCGAATGGTCCGCATTTAAGCGGCCCAGGAACGATTGGTTTTTGGGGCATCGGTGATGTCTGGGCGGACGGCGCTCTGCAAGAGCTGTCATCATCAACGTATTTTCATTTGCGCTGTTCTCTGTCAACGTTCTTCTTGTTTGAGTTATGTATAGTGGTATATAATTAGTTAACAAAGAACCAGTATTTCGCTAGTTTGCGATAGGCGATATTTTGGTCGATGCGAAAGGATGATTGCTTGGAATAGAGTTGTCGAAGCTAAGCTGCCTGGCTTAAAGACGCCTGTACTTTGTTAAAGCGACTACAGAACTGTATCAATCCTTGGAAACTAGACCCTTCAGCGGCCTCGAAGGCAAGTCAAAATAACCGAAAATATGCATATGTATATATTTTGTTGCATCTAAGCCATGAAAAAAGGACGGGAAAAAGAAAAGCCAATTTTAGTTATTTTTTGTAGCAATAACGTTAAAACGTTCGTCAACCAATGTACGTGGTAGAGTTGAATAACGAAGAGGAAACTGTCAGGCATGGTTTTCTTTTATTCAGAAAGTGCAGACGCTTATACTCCTGTAGAAAATATCGAGCACGATAATCGTAAAGCAGGAAATGGGTTAGAGAGCGCATTTTACGACGCTCAAATTTCGCAGCTCGTAAAGCTTTCGATTTAAATTCCAAGGGGACAGAGGCAAGGGCAGAGGCTTCGTGGAAACGCGACGTGGAACGATGTACGCAACATTGATAAAGACTTGTTATATTGATGTTTTCGCGGCCATATGACCACGTAGTTAGTGTTAAATTTAACCAGTTCACCAAGTACAGTGAGCGTTAAATCGATGTGACATATTCGTGCACCGAATGACCATGGTTCGATGTAAATATAGGGACAGCCCAGTGTTGTTCGTCAGAAATTGCTCGTTAATGATGTAAGCCGCTGTCGAAATTTAACGTTGACCCCACTCGATTAACCTGCGGTCCTCTGTTTCGGAATAATTACAAATTTCTATGACTTATTTAGAAATAGGGTTAAGAAAGACATAAATTAGACGTCAATTTATTGTAAAGATTTAGATCTTGCAATACAAAATAAGTAAAATAAAACCAATAATATTCTGACAAATAGTACGTATTTATCCAAGGCAGGCTATCGAACGAATATTTAACCGATTTATAAATGTAAGAACCAATCGTCCAACAATTTTGGGATATAAGATGCGATTCGGAGAATTTGAATACTAATCAGTAAGATTTTTTATTTTGTACAGATTTTTACTTCGATTTAACTATTTATATCAGGTTTTTAATTAAATACTGAGAAGACTCTATCCTTATAAATAATCTATCACAATTAATAGTTTGGGATGCTCCTTAACTATCGTGAAACGACGATTATATCGAATGTTAAGTGGAAGACTAATTAATAGAAATGTCAATTACTACGATTGATAGCAAGAAATAATAATGAAGAAATCAAAGGAAAAACGGGACGCTTAGATGTTAAAAAGGATGATACGTTGCACGCTCGATTAAATTAATTTTGCGAAACACGCGTCGCGTTGAACTCCGGTCTCGATTCTTCCGCGAATCGTCGCGCAAGTTCAGGCTTGGTCGCATTAGAAATTCTGGAAATGCAATTCAAGCAACAACAAGAACACCTCTTGGGCGGGTAGACGTGTTTCGCGCTACATATGGAAAGTATGCAGAACTTGTCGTCGTTGCTCGCGCGTTCCCACCTCGCAAACTGTTCCACGCGCGAAATTGCCGATGAATGCGCATTCACCGGACCCAGCGAAGGATGCAACTTCGCCCAACACGTGTCGATATGCTTCCTGCGCGCTAAATCGTGACAAAATGTTTCTAACGAGGGCGCTGGTATTTAGGGACGCGTCGCGCTTGAGAAAATTTGTTATGCAAAATTCGTATTAAAGAGAAGAAATTCGTGTCGGCGATTCGCGAGAGTGGCATTTCATTCTTAATAGTTCATTTCCAAATTTTTTCAACGATTTGACGGATTATAATACAGATTACGCAAGAACCAGTTACTATAGTATCAAACTATACATTTTGTCGTAGAATCTATCTTCCTTTTACGAAAAGAATATTATTCGTCAAAAAGCAAATACTAAAATTTTTACCTGTGCAATTTGGGAAAAACTTAAGAATAATCCGATGAAACTGATCTGAGAATATTAAAGCGTAGAACTTTGAATTCTGCATTTCTGATTTGACAATTTTAATATGATAATTAAGGTATCAAGTAAATTTAAAACGGTTTAAAAATTGCTATTTGCTGCAAATCCGTTAGAATTTTACAGTTTGTATACTGTTCAGGATTTAAAGTTGTCCTCAGTTTACGGTACGGATAAACATCTGCTATTTTTTGAGAAGCTGGAATTTCCCCCATTACACATTACAAAGTTTACAACTCGGATCACGTCGAGAAGAGTTAATTAGTATCTTAACACTAGGTTTACTGGTGTTTCTTATATACCTATCTCTACGAACTTCCGTCAAACTGACGGGTAAACGAAAATACGCATTTTCTTTAAAAAATCGATTTATTCAAATTAAGTCTGAATTGAACAATATTAGGCTTCACGTTTAAATAAATTATTAATAAGTAAAAAGTTTTTTTTTAAATTCTCACGGAAATGATGACAGTAATATTAACGGTATAGGGTAATCATATTTATTGAGCACATTTTTTACAAATATACTGAATTTTGTTTGTGCATTTTCCGCATACGATCTTTTTGCAATATATACAACAATTATTGCTTCTATTTTCTTTTTGCAGTAACCCACTTGCCCACAACTTCTTCGCACTTCTGACGTTGAAGGTGACAGAAATAAAGCATCTGATCTTTGGTAAATGTTCTTCTTGTTTTCTCCAGCTAATTCCTCGGCTAAATAAAATATGAACTGCTTTCTGGATATTTTCGATCCGGTGTACTCTTTACATAATATCCACGCGTTTATCGCTGCCAAATCTAAAATATTGAAAAAAGCTTAAAGGGGCCATCGGAAACTCCCTGCTTTCACACTATATTTGCGTGCCATCTGGTCAACGACACACCACAACAACGATCCACGCCAAACTTTGTTTTATTATAAAAAGTAATGATTTCTGGAACACGTTTACAATTGTCTTCTACTTGTACACCTGTATGTTTGGTGTTTAGAGGGAGGACTTTTACGTTAGGTTTACTTTTATACACAGTAAGCGTGCAGTTTTCTGATTTACATAAATGTGAGAAAAACAAAGTCATTTTGTCCTTTTTTGCCAAGGTTGTTTTTTCTGCAAGTAATTTTTTAGATAGCGGGATGCTTGTAAAGAAATTATCTGTCGTTATATTTCTGCCTCGTTTAAATATGGTTCGGCTAATTTTAATGTTACAAACTTGCCCAACGATTTTGAGCATCGAGTTTCATCTTTCCCCATATAAGGGATACCATTCAAAATATATTTTGTTTGGACTCAACTGCTAACCAAAACTTAATGCCAAATTTATGAGGCTTATTCGACATATATTGCGTAAACCTGCATCGCACTTTCGTTGGAAATAATTATTCATCTATTGAGATATTTTCATAAGGCTTATAACAAGCCTGTTCCATATTTCGGATGTCAGCGCAAATTTATCTGTTTGTAATCTTTCGGAAGCTTTCAATGATCTCGCTTCATATGCGCCCCGGGCATATAGAATTCTTAGAAAACTACGTCACGTCTTTTTTCAAAACTCGATGCGCCTCGGTTTCAGCGCAATCTTTTATGTGCTCCATTATGTGTCTGTCAATTATCAATTCGAAAGCACTAGTTACACAACCAAACATAAAATAATTGTGTGTATAAATTCTTTGGATGAAATGATTAATTTACGATGCAAAATGGTATTTCATTTCGAAGTTTGAAATCCGTTAAATTGACAGGTCCCGTAAATCTAGTGTTAAGCGCTCGACGGATCCGCTCAACAGCAAACGACGTGTCAACTTCGACCAGATGAGAACTCGACAACAGACCAAGGACGATGTCGTTAACTAGACGTTATGCTCCGCATCCTCGGCCAGGTAGATACAGAACGCACCACATGCGAGACGCCAACGACAGTTCGACAGTCACAGGACTGAACAGACACAGACTCCCACTTCACAGGAAACGTTGACGACAACACACCCTCTACACTGACATTTAAAATATAAACACCAGGCGCTTCGAGAGAAAAAGACTCATCACGCACTCGTCGCATATTTAAACTCTATTACTTACGTTCCATACTCTTACGTTTATACTAAACACTTCAAATAAAATCTATAAATACAGAAATCCTTTAATTTCCCTCCACCTTGAACGTTAATATCGTTCAGGGTTTGCGACCTCAACCGAACAGTTACAACATGACTGATCGTCACCTGGTTGAGAGGTCGTAATATATACTTTTAGTCGCAGAACTTTCTATAGTTAGTTACAGTCGTCGAGAAAATCTGTAAAGTTATCTTTTTCCAGAGATACGTATTCTGCTCTTTTTAATTTCTCGTCCAATTTAGATATATTTTATAACCAGGCATACAATGCATTCAACTTACATGTATATACTTAACGTCTATTAGTTGATAAGATTTCTTAAACGTCTATTATCGAATTGCTCTATTATATACTGACATTTCTATTGCATAAATATATTGCTCGAAATCGTGTTATGCTTGCAATTAAAATGTTCAGTTGACTTACCACTATGATTTGGCTGATTTCATGATTTTAATACAATTCCAGGTTACTTACCTGAAACAGAAATTTTTATTGATCAATATACAAGAGGAATTTTTTCGCCCTCAGTAATATATTATAGTATAAGTATTACAGTATTAATATAATATATTTCATAGTATATTACATTCTTACATCGTCATAAGTGAAGCATTACATCACGACATAATATTTCCTCTTACATCTTTCACCGCTTTAATTAACACCCCTCGTACACTTCTCTAATTCCCAGTAGCCTTAAACCGATTCCCCCGTAAAAGACAAGCGACGATAAAATTTTAACGACGCCATTATACCCAGGATACCATCCATGCACCTTAATTTTCGAAATAACTGTCAGGACCAAAAAAAAAAAGAAGAAGAAAGAAAAAGAAAAAACGAAAGATAAAAAAGAGAAGGGAAAAAGAAAAAAACAGGCAAAACGAAGGAAAAAGAAAACAAAAAGATACGAGGGGAAAGTGGAAACTCGCGGGCAATCCTCGCGAATGTGTTCGGGCATAGTTGGTGTACATACATAGTTGGATCGTATCACGTCCAATTTCCAGGGAGTAAAATTACTCGAAGCCAGGCCACGAAGCGTAAAGCAGTAATTGCCATTTACTCGTACCGGCCAGTGGTCACCGAATATTCCATTAATGATTTAGGGCGGCACTTTCGTCGGTACAGACCCCACTCGTCCGACAAAATTTCCGGAACGATAATTCATCGAGCATTTAACGATCTTTCAATAAAGAGCGAGTCAGCGGCACGGCAAACGAAACGTTTAATTTACGTTAATGACGTACCGCGGGGAATTAATTAGAAATTGATACCGGCGCACCACTTGTCAACTTGAAATCTATACGACGTGTCCCATCCAATCCCCACCTCCTCACCCCCTTCCAATGAATTTATTAAAATTTCGATACTTGCCGCTCCATCTAATTTATTATTTTTTGGTGTGTCCGTATTTTAGCTGCGTCAATCAGTTTCGTAATGGGACAAAATAATAACGCTAATGAACGTCACATACGTTCCTCGTGTAGGGAAAAAGTCATGCATGATATGAATTAGTTGATAAAATAATTGCCCTATTATGGATGTTTCTAATGGGAGACATTGAACGAGCGAACGGCTATACGTTTCTTTTACATATAAACCTTTTGAAATATGTCGAACATAGCACAATAGTACCGCGAAGCATTTACGAAGTTTTTTCTTATTCGTACAGTATAATATTCGCATAGACTGAAAAAATGCTGAAACGGTAACAATTTAAAGCGTATTACGTATACCTCAGAAATGAATGCTGACTATTCATCGCCGTATGTTTCCGCTTGAATTGGAGCACATTAATGAACAATGCAATTCACATGCAATCTTCCCAACGATTGAAACTGTCACATTCTGCGATAAATTTTATAACTTTCCATCCTTATAATGGGAATATTCATTATCCTCTTTCCATTATGAATAATAACATCTTTTATCCAAATTGATCAGAATCTTGTCGCATTGGACTATAAATTATCAAGATACAAGAATATTCATTTTCATTAGGTGCAGGATATACTGAAAAATTTCTCTCCACACTCGTTTAAAAAGATATTATTATGTTTTTGAAAATATTGTTTCCGTCAAGCGAAAAAGGATGAAAATCACGCGAAGCATCAAACTTAAATCTTTTGCAATTTGCAACGATAGAATAATTGCTTGAAAACAGTTGATATTACTAATCTTTCGCATCCCAAAAGTAGTTAGAAGCTACTATATGGTCAAGTGAGACAACATGTAATTTCTCCCTGATAAAAGCTCCGTTTTCCACCATTTTTCGTTTTATGTTCATAGGCAATTCGATAATTCGCACCTACGTAAAAGCAACCTTCTACGTCCGAAGGAGATTTATACTCGTCGTTTCTCTGCTGTATGAACGACGAGCACATCGTACCTCAAGTCGACTTTTATCGATGTTTGATCATTGATAACTCTGGCGCTGGAAATTTCCATTCAAACACGCCGGGACTAACGTTTTGATAATCAGTATCGTAATATAACGTAATATGAGCCAGCGGCGCGATACTCCAGCACGCACGACACGCCTTGACGTGTCATTCTCATTCCTACCAAGTCGTTTGGTACAACCGCCTTTCAAGAGTTAAAAGGTCCATAATGCTTAATACTGAGTTATTATGAGCAATATTAATACTGAGTTATTTGCCAAATTTACAGAAATGCAATAAACCAGTGATCGAATATATCAACAGTAATCTTCGTCTCGCGAGTATATTCCCTTTTTGTTCTACTCTTTTTTTTACTCTTTTACTCTGTACATAGTCGTTAAAAAGTAGTCAGGAAATTAAAATCGAACGGGACTACGGCCGCGCGCTTACGCGTCTCCCGCGTATTCCGGAACGGGGTTCGATGCGAATGAAACTGTATTCCTGATAATGGAGAATTTGCCGCGCAACAACAGCGAATTTTAATTAGTTCGAAAATAACGAAGCGTCATGCATGAGAAATAATGAGCATTGGCTGGCTAATTATAGAAGAGGGAATATCTTCCGCGATAGCGGAGAGATTTTTAAAGAGGATTATGTTCTTATTTCGAAAGTAGCCTACCGTATATCTTACAATTTGATTTTTTACTTTTCGTTACATAGCTAGTGGAGCCTAGAACAACATGTTTATTAAACATCGCAGCGAAATTGTTCTTTTCGTGTTGACACCAACTACGAACATTTCACCCTCTCGTAATCGAAATTTGTACGAATGAATTACTTGGTGTTCGCATCGCGATGCAACTCATAGTTGGCGCATACCGGAAAAGACCGCCTCCTCGAGGAAAGCAGCGTCGCTAGAGTTGAAAGTGTAATACCGCGAGTTAAGACGCGGGCAGATAATTGCCATGAAACTTCTCTCTCTCTCTCTCTCTCTCTCCTTCCCCCCTCCCTTCCCTCTGTCTCGCTCTTTAGAAGAAAGTCTGGCACGTACACAGGTGAGCTCAGTTGCACCGAGAACAAGGGTGCTACGGTGCACCGGTTATTCGATTATCTTGCCACGTTGTCAACCGTGTCGTAACTGTTCTTCTCACCATGTTCACCGGTGACGCGTACATCACTTTTCATAATAACGTTTCAACCTTATCGAATTATCGTTACTTTCATCGTCGATTGCTTCAAAATGTAAATGAACAAAAAACACGAGGAAGATATCATTAAGCTATTTAAGATTGAATGGTTTTCACATAGCGCACTTGAGAATCAAAGAAGTTACGGAGTAATCGATTGAACAAATTTGCTGAATCTATTTCTCCGTTCGTATACGTTTGATAATGATACTAATTAATGTTATATTATATATAACGTAAAAGCGAATCACAAACGAAGAAGATATATCTTAGTAAGGAAATTTTGTCTATTAAACTAAAGGATCGAAGCAGCGAAGTTCTTCAGAGACAACGAGTGCCAACGTCTAAGAACGAGATAACTCAGCGGAAGATCGAGAAAGCGAAAGAAAGAAGGTAAGGGTGAAGAATAAAAATGGACACGTGAACGGGAGAGACGGGTTTACAAAGGCATTAAGAATATCCCCGCTATGCAAGAGCATCTGCGTTCTTAAAAGCATATTTGGCTCGGTATTTCTGCGAAGGTTCTTCGTATACGTGTATATCAGCACCGGAACCGCTCGAATTTCTTTTTCGCTGCGCAACATCGTTAGAGTTCCCGGGAGAGCCCTCGAAGGAACCGGAGGCGCAGCTCCAGCGATGCTGTTATAACGTCTAGCCTCGGTTCTTTATTCGCCGGTAATGGTATTCCCGTTCGTCGTTGTCGTTGTCGTTGTCGTCGTTGTCGTAGCGACGAGCCGCGAAATCGCGAAGCGGAGAACCGCAATCGAGCGAAAAATTCCGTCACGACAATGTTATCAAGAAATATTTTTACATCTCGACCAGGACACGCTTCCACCAGAGATCTCACGTGGGATCACGATTCTCCACATTTTCCCTGCCTTATTATTCATACCGCCTCCTACGAAACGAATCGCTGAATAAAGATAACGTTTCGTGTCACCTTTGTTTATCTTCCTTTTTACAAGATTTTAGTTGACGATGAGTTTCTGAAACGATTTTCTAAAAGACACGCGTAAGTACAGGTGTATCAATCCTCTATAATGCAATGTAACTTTCTCAACAGATAACTTATTTTATTTCTTCGTCATTTTGTCGTGCAGATTTGCCCTTGCGGAAAGAGTTAATAATGTAACCTCCGTTAACGATATAGAATGTAAATAAATTTTATCTTCCAAATATTTAACCTAATTCCTTTCTTTTTGCGACGCAGAGAAGCTAAGAAGAAAATGTAAAGAGAACGAACGGAGGAGAACGTTCAAATATTTATACCACTTCCCCTTTCTTTGACATTGAGGAACTAAAGAGAGAAGAAAAAGATACGACTTTTAAAAGAAAAGACGAAGTGAGATCGTTGCCCCACGCATACATGCCAATTATTCATATTTAATATTTCTATGAACGTTGAATATTTAACTCGAACGGAACGTTATTATCTACTTCGTTCAATATTTAAGGTACTCGAATCAGAAGGGCGTTAGAAAAGTACGGTAATAAAAATCCTTTTCCTCCATTCGATTATAGCCTAAAATACAATCTATATGTAGATTCGACGAAAAGCGTGCAGATGATGATTAAACGATTCGTGGAAAAGCCAAGATCTTAAATATGAAAATAGTACAGTTGCGGTGAGTCGTGCCAAAAATGTCGTTCGTTCAATCGATACAGGTCGCAATACTCAGAATTTCAATCAGCGAAATCAAAAGGACGGGCTGTCGAGCGAGTATTTTCGCCTGTCTATTTCAACGTTCGAAAATGGCGCTTGCGAAATTCTTTCGTGCGTTCGATCTATCTAAAAGACATCTTTTTTATTTGAACTTCAGGCTGCTCGACATTGTGTCTTATTGTTAAGGTCTTTTATCTTTCGATATTAACGTTAAAACGTCTTTTCCAGCTTTTACATTCGAAACAAAATACAATTTCCGAAGTCCCCTTTCGCGATACGTTCCCATTTTTCATCAAATAATACAAAATTCCATTTGCTTGCTGTCCCATCATCGCAGGAGCGAAAGAAAAATTGATAGGTTCCCATCGTGAACCCCAGAAAAAAGCCGTGCTTTATCTCACGGTTCAATATAGACATCTTTGATAAGAACGAATGCACGACCGTTATCTTATCGTCTCGTACAGAGAGCAGTTGGTGCGCCATATGCCGCTCCATCCGAAAATGTATCACGCAGGTTGCCTCTAGGCGAAGTTATTGAATGACCGCGCAAAATCGTTGGTACGTCAACGCCGATAATTCCTATACATTTTTTCCTCGTTCCCTCTAGACTCTATTCTTCCCTCGTTCGACCGGCCAAACAGATCATCGTTCTCGTGGATTTTATCCACGAAGGCTATTCGCCCAGCTAAATGTGCTCGGAATTTTACGAGGACACAACGCGCGAATCGCCCTGTTCAATTCCTGACGTATTGTAATGGGCCAAAGGGGAGGAACCATAAAATCGACCACCTCCTTCAATTGGTTGTAACCGTAGGTTTAATGGATAATCGATAAAAGATAAGAAATTGGAAGGTGACGAGCGAATTTCGACAAACTTATCGTGTTGTATCGCTGGATAGTTGTCGCTTTTAGTTGTTCATTTTTTGAATCACCGATATAATAATGTCGTTTCCTGTACTTTACTCTTCCCGACTTATTTCTCTCCTAATCCTTAGAAATGAGCAGAATTTTCACAAAAGGATATTGACTTTTATTCCACGATAGGGATATTACAATCTGTTCAAGGAAAATTGCACTTGGATCTGTCTTTATTCCGTCGAAAACATAACTAATTAATCTCTTATGGCTGCAAGGATACTGTATTCGTCGATTAGATTATTTTCCCTATTTGTCTCCTACGATAGTTATCGCGTTCATTGTCGAACAATCTTGTCTTTCTTTATCTTACTTCGTGATAAGATAGTTGAATCTTGCAAAGCAACGATCAAACGAATATCTGCCAATTACTCTGAATCAAGGTCGAATCTAATGATCCTACGATATTTTTTCCCTTTTAATGGATCTGTCCCCAATCTTTATGCAACTCCTTACAATCGTATTTACGATAAGATAGACGATAAGATTCTACAAAAGTTAATAAAAATGAAATTATCGTTTATCAATCGAGGAATAGCGCTGTTTCAGGATTACGAAAATATATTCTCGATCCGGTACTCGATCACGGTTCGTAGAGAAGCGATTCAACGCCATCTTAAGTCCGTAGGAAAAAGCTAGATCGACAAACTGTAGTAGCGAAACTGGAATTTCATACAACACAGCCTAAATACCCGTTATCTCGGATGACAAACTCATTTTTCATTACTCGTCCTTGCTGCGTATGATAGATCGAGGTTTGTTCAGCTAAGACAAATTTAAATTTAATCACCTATCAGGGCACCGAGAATCCAGCAGGACCAGTGGGATCACATGCGCTTGAATGATTACGCATTCAGGGGTGTACCGGCGTATAGAGAGATTGCTAGTGGTACCAGAGTAACTGCCGATCGTTAGTTTCCAATTAGGTGCTACACATTGGCATGTACATGCGGTTAATTTACTTTCTTTATAAGTTTTCGTAAGGCAAGCACACGAAAAGGAAAGATACTCGTCTTTTTTAAACGAATCATTCTTGAAAATAATAACCTCCACTCGTTTCGTCTCTTTCTTTATAAGTTTTTGTAAGGCAAGCACGCGAAAAGGAAAGATACTCGTCTTTTTTTAAACGAGTCATTCTTGAAAATAATAGCTTCCACTCGTTTCGTCTCTTTGTATTATACGTACATTATTACAAATCATAATTATGTTAATCGTCTCAGCACTCCATTATTTTATCAACAGCACAATATCCCTTTCGTTTCTCTCTTTATTCGAGTCGATAATATGCTACAAGCACCGTTATTCCTTCGAGCAATACTCTTAATAAAGGTGCGTAGTAACAAGAGGATCCTCTCGAATTCGCATTCGTCGGATTTAAGATGGATTCGAAGTAAGCTCTTCAATTCCTGCCTATCCAACATTGCCACGAGAGAATCGTAGAAGGAAGTCGTTAATACAGCTTTGCGTGTGCGCGTTTGAGGACACGGTGGAAACGCGAGGATTACGCGGAAAACCGGAGAGAACATAGGGTTGAACTTCGTGATCGGTCGCAATAAAATGTCTCTGACCACGATTGCCATCTAAATGGATGCAAAAACACACGGCGAAATATACGGTGCGCCCTCGTACCAGTGGTAACGACAGGAGAGGACAATGAGAGTACGGAAAATAAACTTTAGTCACGAGGAATCGACGATTTTGAGCTGACAAAGGAAAGACAGACCGATAAAGAATTAATCATAAAACCGTGAGGGAATGATCGGCCGTTATCGTTGCACCGTCATCGCGTCCTACGTGCGCTTAATCGCCATGGCTCTCTGATTCGAAGGAGAATGTTGTTGCAACGTAGCAATGAAATTATACGGTGCTACAAAATAAGGATCTCAGATTTGTAGAGGTTGAACGCTGAAACGGATGAAAAATACTTCATTAACTTAGAAACTGAAGTTAGAAAATAATTACGTTGTTGTATATTGTTCTGTAATTATCACGTGTAAAAGCGAGCGAATAAACGAATTATGATTTTAAAGTCCAATACGTGATGTAAATATTTACGTAAATTATTTTTTAGTGTGATCACGAAAGCCTCGACGCGACGCGACGCCTTAAATCAGTTTATCGTCGAATAACGTCATAAACTAGAATTCCTGGATAGCTTTATGTCACATCTATTTAGATCATGGCAATGTGTCACTCTTATCGCGTACGAACGATATGTAATACCTATCATAAAATCTTTTGCTGAATGATCTCAAGAGAGGAACCCGAAGTAAAAAGTGTTTTAAATGTATAATTTGACAAAATCTAATTTAATTTCGAGCAACTTCCGCTCGCGAGTTATTCGCGAGTTTAATCATAAAATCACTGAAATTGGGATTGATGGAATTTTGCAATAACTTTCTTTCTATGCTGTCGCGAACCTAAAATTACACCGATATTTCCTAAAAACCTGTACCAATAACTTATTTACTTGATCCCCTTCAA